GCGGCGTCCACCTCCTCCCCTGCGGGCAGCCCCAGCTCGGCCAGCGGCCGCGCGTCGCCCTCTAGCTGCCGGTCCCGGAACACCCAGAACTGCGGGCCTGCAGGAGGGAGCCTGCTGAGCAACTGCTCCCACGCCCCGCGCGTCCCAGGGGGGCACCCCACTCACCACTGAAGAGTAGGATTCGGCCATCTCGGTGCCGGGTGTAGGCAGCCTGGATGACAGTCACCTGGGGGGGCAGCCCCTCCCAGAAGCGGTGGAGCCTGGCAGGCCGGGGGGACACCAGCTGTCCTGAGGGCTGGAGGCGCCAGAACCAGGGGCCTGTGGGAGAAGGGATGGGCCTGGAGCATGAGGTGGCAAGTGGCCTTGTCCCCCAGGGTGTGTGGCTGGGACTTAGTGCTGGGTGGAAGGTCCATCTGAAAATCAAAGGGCCCAGTGGCTCTAGGGCTGTGGTTCTCAACCTTGGCTGCACATTAGAATCACCTGGGAATCTTTTTAAAATCCTGATTTCTGGGTCTCCTCCTCCGGAAATTCTGTTTCTTTGTACTAATGTTGTGGCCCCACCCCATAACAAAGAAACAAAATTTCTGGAGGATGGGGCCCAGAAATCAGGATTTTAAAAAGATTCCCAGGTGATTCTAATGTGCAGCCAAGGTTGAGAACCACTGCTCTAGGGTGACCAGATGGCCCAGGACTTTCCTTCTACCTCCACCCACACTTTGTTTGTTTGTGTTTCAAATACAAGCAAAAGTTTATATAGAAAGTCACACAGGTAGAAGTGAGCTCTGGGATAAGTGAGCCAGCTGGGCTGGGTGGGCTCAGGAGGCAAGTTACAGAGAGAAATGTAGGGCTTCAGAGAAAAAGCAAGGATATAGCCTGGGGGAGGTGGGGGGAGAGGCTCAGGTGAGCTTCAAAGAGTGTGCGCTGGGGAAAGTAAGGGATTGGGGAAGGGCAGTCACTGGTGTGCTCCACAGGGAGCCACTCCCACCCAGCTTGAAAGTCCACATCCTGGGAAACCCCACAGGCCTGGTGGGTCACCCTAAGTGGGTAGGAAACCAACTCTACGGGGCCAGGGAAGACCGGAGTGACTCACCTTTAAAGAAGAAGGTTTCCCCACGGATGTTGGCGATAGCATCAAAATTGCCATCACATCGATCAGGGACAGGAAGGGAGGGGCTGAGGAGGAAAGGAGAGGTGAGGAGAAAGGGGTCAGGGCTCCTCCTGTCTGTACTTCACCTTGAGGACAGCCCTATGGGGCAGGGACTCTTACCAAGCCCTCTCACCAAAGAGGACTCCACGGGCAGGAAGCTCACCCAAGAGGGCAAAGCTGGAGGAGGACTCACCTGCCTGGGGGCAGGGCAGGGGGCGGGGGAGGAGGAGCCAGGGGTTTCATTGTGGGCTTATCATATGGGGTCTGGGGTCCTTTCCCTGTAGAGAGAGTCAGAGAGACATGTGTTCCCCAACGCTGCTGCAGAGGCCACATGGGGAGCGCCCCCGACACAACTCCCTGTACCGTAGAGCTGCTGCAGGCCTTCACGGTCATCCTGGGACAGGCGGTACTTGGTGGGCTCCCCGACAGGACCCTGGTAAAAGGGCCTCATGATGGAGTCAGGCGCAGAGGAGTGGCCCAGGCCCAGTGCGTGGCCAAACTCATGAACTGCCACCGCAAACAGGTCTGTCCCCTCACCATCTAGGGAGGAAGGGAGACTGGGCTGGAGCTGGAGCAGCCAGGAAAGGGGCAGCAAGGAAGCCCCTGGGAGCGGGGCCTGCTGGCAGCCAGGAACAGCCAGGAGACCCTCAGAGGTGGTCACAGCGTCCTCTGCCCAAAAGCCTCCCCGAGCCACCTCATCCTTCCTGTACGAGTCTATTTATTCAGCAAATATTTTTGCTTGGCAGTGCTAGACACTGGGATACTGGGCTCAAATGACCCATAGAACAGGTGAGGGAACGGGCAGGAGGAGACAGCCTGGACCAAGGAAGGCCAGCTTACACTGATGGAGGCCTGCCCGCAGAAACATGGGGGAGGGGAAGCAGGAGCCCGGGGTGCACACAATTCTCTCAAGGCAGCCCCAGCCCTTGCAGTCTCCCCCTCCCAGCTCCAACCAGTGGTCTGAGTCCCCACCCCTCCACACCCTTCCCACTCCCACCCGTGAGGAATGCTGCTCCATCACCTTGGCCTCTGCTCCCAAGACCCTCAGAATCCCACTCCCACCCCCATGGTTCTTCCACCTCCCCTCCTCCCATCTCTACCGCCCTTCCCCATCTCTCCCTCCCACAGCCTCCACCACTCCCCACCTCCCTGGGGTCCTGGCCTCTCCTCCCCACCACTGCAGCCTTCATCCATCTCCTCAGAACCCGCAGCCTCAGCAGGCACTCTCTGACCACAGTCTGCTGGCCTGGGTGCCCAGCCTCGCTCCCAGCCTCTCTGAACACAGAGGCCTCTTCCTTGGGGACCCAGCCCAGGCGCCAGCAGCAAGCCAGATCTCAGCTCCTCATCCATCCACACGCTTCCTGCTGGCTCCTGCTAAGCAGGTGAGAGGCCAAAAGAGACAGAGACGGTCAGAGGGGTGAGCAGCCCCCAGGAGGCACAGATTCCCCCCGAGGTTGATCTGCTTCCTGGACATCTCGAACTGGCATCAGCAGTGTTGAACATGGGTGAACTGGACATGGCCTCGGAACGGAGAAGCAATTTTCTCTCAGCTCCTGAAGACCACTAACTGGGAGTCTAAGAGTGGAATGTGTACGTCACAAGAGGAGCAACAAACACTTCCCTCATTTACTGCCCACAGAACCTCGACCTCCAACCACATTCACAGGCCAGGACGCCGAGGCACTGAGAGGTGAGGTTCAATGACAGCTGAAACCAAGGCCGAGTCCTCTGGCTGTGCTGTCCTGCTCTCAGCAGTGACTGCGGGTGGTCTCTTCACACTCGTATGTGCTGATGAGCTCCTATGTCCTATGTTGCCTGTGGGTTTCTGATCGCTCTGGGTCCTTTTTCTGAGAAACGAGGAAGTTTGGTGGTTTTTTGTTGTTGTTGTTGTTGTTGTTGCTGTTATCCTCACAGGAGGATATTTTTTCCATTGCTTTTCAGAGAGAGTGGAGAGGAGGGAGGGAGGGATGGAAGGATGGAGGAAGAGAGGGAGGGAGGAATGGAGAGGGAGAGAGAGAGAGAGAGAGAGAGAGAGAGGGAGAGGGAGGGGGAGAGAGAGAGAGAGAAACATCGATGTCCATTGGCTGGTTGCCTCCCCCACTTGCCCTACTGGGCGAATCCCGAAACCTAGGTATGTCCCCTTGACTGGGAATCCATGCCTGAGCCAACACTCTAACCACTTAGCAACACTGGCCAGGGCCAGTTAGGTGTCTTAATCAGGTAGCTCTCTTTCATCTTTCACCGCCCCCGCCCCTCCTCTGTCTAGCTTCTCCTTTGGCCACACCCCTTCCTTGCATTCTTCTCATGCTCTGCAGCTGGGGGAAATTACCCAACTGTGCAGATCAGCCCCAGATTAGACTGTGGGGTCCTCAACACCTCCTCTTAAACTTGCCCTGGGCCTCGGCTGGAAGCTGCTTTGCTCTCGGCCTCAGTTCCGAGCCCAAAGCCCCTCAAGTTACCACCCAGGTCCAGCCCCAACTCTTAGATGACAAGTGCTGACAAATGCATTTCCTATTTCAAGACAGGCCATCCTTTGTAATTTGTAATTTCCTGTGTACCCAGAACAGGTAGCTTCATCTCCCCCATGCTCACCTCCTGCCCTGCCCTGTTCAAGGAGCCTGCCTTGCTCAACTCCTCTAGGACAAGAACAATGCCCCACCCATTCGTCCATGCCTGCACCCTTCCACGCTTCCATCTGTCTGTTTATCCGTCCATCCACCAACCCTTTCTTTCTAGTAACTCATTCGGCATCCCCGAGCGCTCAAGACTCCCGCATCCTAAGACACTCCCTAGACCTGTCAGTCCACTTCCTCGGTTCCTCTCACGCCTACCCCTACTGTGGTCTGGATTCTTCCCCACCCACCAAGCCTACAGGCACTAAGGTCACTTCATCCCCAGAGGACCAAATCCAAGGCCATGTCAATCACGGGATTGGTCTGCCATGCTGACCACTTCCTTTTTCACTCTTGTTCTTGATCACCTTTTGGCCTGTTCTTTCTTTATTTCTTTATTTCTTCCTCCCTTGATGCCTTCCCCTTTACTATGGGGCTCTCCACAGCTCTATATTCGACCTTCACATTCCACACTCTCCTCCTTACCAACCCCCCAGTACCTCTGACTCTTAAATCTGAGGAAGGGGGCAGATCAGGTAGCTGCTGGCAATGAGCAGAGCCCTACTCTGTGTCAGGCCTCGTGCAGAGCGCTGGAGGTGAATTACTCATTAAATCCGTAAGTCCACGCTACCAGCAGGTAATATTATTCCCATTTCTCAGTGCAAAACCTAAGCACACTGAAGTCAAGTAACTTATACACATAGCAAACAGGATCCCAGCCTTGAGTTCTGCTTCAAGCTTGCAATCTTTTGTTTTTGTTGTGTTTTGTTTTTGAGAGGAAGAGAGAGAGACGGGCAAGGAGAGAGAGAGAGAGAGAGAGAGAGAAGGAAGAGAGAGAGAGAGAGAGAGAG